TATTATCAGTAGTAGATGCTCAAGAGGAAAGCAGTCGCCTGGCAAGATTGACATTGATTTTGTGCCTCAGAGAGCTTCAATCAGAGGAGGCTCAGAACAACACAAACAGAAGAGGGTGAGCAAATTAAGGGCATTTTTCTTGCACTGGGAAGGTGGAGGCCAGGTCTGTTTTGATTTCCTTTAAGTGATTAACTTTGATTGTAGGGATGGGACTGACTTTTCTCACTTGTGTACATAAGGAGTTTTATTCTTCCTGTTCATTTTCCACTGCTGCCTTTTATCACGGTAGCGGGAGGTGGCGTTGATGGAGTGATGGGAATGCCAGAAATGTGACAGTGTCTCTGTGGGGAAGCTTGGCCCTTCCTCAGCCTGCTTGCCCTCTTTTCAATATAGGCTTTCACAGATTAAATATGAAAACTAAAGCAACAGAAGGTGCTGAATGTGGAAAAATTTATATTTTAGTCTAGGAATTACAAGCAAAGCCTTTCCAGTGGCCACCAGTGGCGTTTGATCAGGCTTTGAGCAGTAACAGATGGAAGCGATGCCATGTTCTTCTTAAACAATGTGCTTGACTTTAAACCAGGAGAAACAGATTAGACCTTTATCACAAAAATAAAGCCCAGAGACAGTTATACAGGGCGAGTTCAATGTGTACATCTTGTCATTTTCAATAAAACACTTAAAAAGTGTTAGTAAATTTTTATCTGTTTTGCCAATACACAAGAGGTTGTACATTTAATTACTCCACTCTCCATTTGCTCAGGTCCTGGCTTGTGACAGACCAAGTCAAATTTGATGGTGCTGCTAAGTTGAATAATGACAGCAAACCAGAACCTGCACATGTGTGCTGTGTGAGCTACAGATCAGCTGGGAGGTCAGCAGTAATTCAAAGTTATTGTGGACACTGAGGGGACTCAAAAAGGTCTGTGGAATCTCTGTGCTCTACCTGAGACTTGAGGTTTAATTTGCCCTTAAAAATCCTAATTGTTATTTCAGGCATGATTAGTCCTGCTTTTTCTCTGACATCATCAACAGCTTTGCTTTCATATGATGTCACTGTGTGAGGGAAAGACCTTGCACTACATATAGCTATGTCACATTCCAGTCCTGCTTCCCATTTGATTTATTCTGAGGCCTAAACAACTTCCTTCAGCTTTAATGGCTTCATTTTTTCTTCATAAAATGTGAAGGATATTTTTATCTACCAACCTGATGGTGGTACTGCAGGGATTTGCTAATTATGAAACCTTTCGTCTTCATAAAGAAGCATGTAAATTGTGAAGGGTCTTCTCCAAAACCAGAGAGGCCCAGACTCCAAAATGGAGCTTGGCACCAAAGTTTTGTGTTCTCTGATAAATTGTCAACATCAGAAAATTCCCAGAGCCAGAACTCTCCAATTTTGAAATACCTAGCAGGGTAAGATACAGGAAGTTGGTTCATGCTCCATAAAAATCCATATTTTGTGTTCTTCCAGTTTGGTCAGTATAGCCACATGAAATCATTTGAACTGATCTCCTAAGAAAACTAAACGCCAAAGGATGAGTTTCACCTCAGCTTGCACTAAGAAGTATCTCTGCACATAACTGATTAGCCATGGTCCATACACCTCTGAATCCCTCTCCTCAGCTTCTTCCACAGATGTGTTATGGTAAGGATGCTGAGGTTACAAAGATCTGGAGCTTTTCCTGCTTCAAACCCTCACTTTCTTTGCACTGTCATTGTGGGGAGTGGGAGGAGCTAGCTGATGCAATTCTCATTTCCTAGTGTTTACGGCTGTTTCTACAACCTATTTTTAAATGTGCTTAGGACTTCCACAAAGCTCTTTTGTTAGTTGTATGTTTTTCATTGCAAACTGGTTTCTAGCTGACATGTTTTAACACCCAGAATTTCCAAGTTTTTCTTTTCCCCTTAAAAGGTTGGCAATGTTTGCAAGCACAGCAGCAGTGAATTATGCATTCAGTATAAAGCTAGATAAAACTGTATTTTTTGCAATAGCTTTCTAAATCAACACTCTACGTAGCTGGACTAAGTAGAATGTGTAATTTTGTCTTGCTTCTCTAAGGAAATGAATTTAGTCTTGAGAGCATGAGTCACTGTGCAGGATTCCAAGCCAAACCCATTCCCTCGATGCAGCTCTGAAATCTTACTCATTTACATGGGAACTGCAGGAAATGGGATGCTCTGATAAATCACATGCTCAGAGAGAGATGGAAAGGCACTCCCATGGACTGGGCCACTACCTCAGCCAGCTCAGCAGCTGCCTCCTGTTGACAGTCTGGAGGAGTGTAAGTCATTAATGCACCCTGGCTGCTGCCTTCTAAACTGGTGGCAGCAGAACTATTACTGTTACTGTCATTGTCATCCGACTTGTTTCTGAGTGCCTGGCAGGGTACAGGAAGTGGAGATTTTCTATAAATTACAGTAAGGAGCTAGAGGGGTGTGAGAGGAGGGCTGTGGGCTCCTGCCGCTGCTACTTGCCAGTTCGAGAGGCAGGCAGGTTCAGCAGCAAAAGGTCCCCTGCACTCCATCTGGAGCAGAAACCTCCTTGCCCTTGTTTTAATAATCATATTCATTCTGCAGCTGTCAGTTCTGATTCCCCCAGGATCCATTCTTAGCACATCATATGCCAACAAGCTGGTTAACTCTGGCTAAAGAGCTACAGAGTCCTGCAAAGGTAAATTGTTACTGATTCAAGCCTTTTGGGACACAGTACACATAATGACACAATGCTGCCTCCCTTTTGGAGGGAGATACTTTTCTAGCATTTCAGACCTTATATATCTGGTTGACTCTCCATGTGATAGCAGATTATGCATTCTCTCCCATACAAAAATCACTGGGTCCAAACTTTCATTTCTGTGAACCAAAATTCCAGGTTACATTGCTGGAAAGTCAGCAGCCTATGATTAAGAAGTTGCTGGACCATACAAACCACTGCAGAAAGCTGAGAGTACATATCAACATTGCAGACACACAGATTTGGTGAAGGAACTTCATGCCCTACCTGCTCAACAGAAATAGCGCTCAAGAAAGATGTGAATTCATCCCTTTGTCTCTTTTATCCATTTAGGAGATGGCAGTGTCCCAGCCAGGACTCTGCAAAAGGAAGCTATCACTTTAACAGCACAAAGTTGCAGGGACAGGGAAGTCCTAGACATTGAAAATAGCTGGGTCTATGTTTTCATGAAGACCACACTTCGACATGCAGGACACTGCTTTTTAAAGCTATCCCTGAAGATACAAGTGCTATAAAGTGATACTTTTACTGCTGGTGACATTTTCTGGAGCTTGTAACATAGAGGTTGCCTTCTGTAGCTCTTTGTGTGTCCTGGTGAATAAAACCAGTTCTGTCCCTGGAGTGCATGGAAGACCAGACACTGAGAAAATCACATTTTGGTTTTGCAGTCTCCTTTTAGAGCCTGGAAGCCACAACAGCCTCATAGTCTGTCCCACGTGTCAGTGTTTGATAATGCCCAGTGAATATAGAAAATGTGTGTGCCTACAGACGACAAAATGATTATCCCTTCCTTGGAGAAGGAAGATGAAGTTTAACTTGCAGGTCAACAAATGCAGCAATAGAATGGAAGCAGGCAACCAGCTGCTTTCATTTTAGTTCCCACACTTGGGCCATCCCTGAGGCTTTAAAAGACCTGCAGCTGGGCTGGTTTAGCCCTAAGGAGGAGTCCTGAGGAGTGATTTCGGCTTGTGTTACAAACCTCAACTCTTCTGCTCTTCTCAGATGGGAAAAACAACTTGACTGTTTCTGCACAAGGTATTCATTTAGATCTTTGTTTTTGTGGTGATGGTTGTTTGCAGCTCTGTGGGTGAACACAGAGCCCTTGGTGGAGGATAGGACTGTGAAAGGCAGGTACCAGAGGGGTTACCAGGCTGAGTTTTAAATACACTTTATATCCTGTGTACTGCCAGCAGAGCATACTACTGGAGTGGACATGGAGCTTCTCCCAGCAGAAAGCTGTTGCCTTATCTCTGCTCCCTGAGGTTTTTAATTTTGTTCTGTTTGACTTTATAAGCAGAACGTAGTTAATGCAAAGAAAGACACACACATTTTCTCAATGACAAACTCTCCTAGCTTGCACTGTAGGGGACTTACACCATGTGCTGTAGCTCTGTGTTAGTTGGCCACTGTGGGCATTCAGTGGCCCGTCCTGCACATTTCCCAGGCTTGTGGGTTGGTGCTGGCCACCTCATCCTACTCCCAGCAAAGCTAGATGTGAGCCCTGCCATCACATGTAGGTTCAAAGCGTGGCTTGGCAGGGAGAGGAGACTGATTTCTAATCCTTTTCAGGAAAGAATTTTTTGTGGCCTTAATTTTCTTCCACTCCTTTTTAATTTTCCGTGCCTCTGTTCCTTAATTGAAATGTGATATGCTGCACCATGACTCAGTACTAAAGGTCTGAACTATGGCAGAGATTCCAGAGGAAAATAAAGATGGAGAGACAGAGGTGGAGCCTCCATTGCTACCATGTCTTTTGACTCAGCTTCATTATGCAGCCATAGTGAGATCATTAATATACTTCAAGCAGGTACCAAGCTAAACATCTCTGTCAGGAGCAGAGCTTCACAGTGCAAACATCATACAGGCACAGAGCAGCTCTCCTCAGCTAAAGAGGCAGAACAAACCAGGGAAGTGAAAGTGGAAGCAGAGTAAAGCAGAATGATTGCCAAATAGGGTGTTTGGTTTGCTGTGTTTTCAAGAACACAAATACTGAACCTTATCTCTGTCAATTAATTCAGGTTTTTTATTTATAATGAAGTTTTAAACAGAAAATGAAAGGTTGCTGCTTGCCTATGAACTGCCAATGAATTGTTTTCACAGTGTTGGAATGTTGGAATTTCAGACTCTGCCCCTCTGTTCCTGTATTTGGATGAAATTGCACAAATGTTTAGCAAATATTTGCAGGGCACGGCCTTATTGTTTTGCAAACTGTGGTGAGCCTTGTATAAGGACATGGACGTTACCAAAGCATCTGACTTTTAGCTCCTATGAGGGAAATGCTGATACTTGCGGAATCTGGTGGTTCTCTAACTTGGGCCTTATAAGAGGAGCAGCATGCCTGTGTCCTGGGTGGTAAATGCAAGGTACATAATTTCTCGCTGGCCAACTCCAACCTTGTGTTGTTTTTCTCGTGGCTTTGTCCAGATTCAGTTGTATTCCCAGACCTTATGCAGTTCTGTTCTTAGGAGGCAATATCTCAGTGCAAGAACCCTTTAAAAGATGCCAATGTGATAAAAATGTGAGATGCTCGGAGATGGTGTCATGTATCAGGTGTGTGTGTGTGCATGTGCATGAGAGCCGGATTTCTGCAGGTTGGGTCTTCTCAACAGTTCAGCCCCCACATATTCTCTGTATGCTTTTTGCTAGTTGTACAGCACTTCTGCTTTATACATTCCATAGTGTGTATAGGATTCATTGTGTGTTTGTTGAGGATCTTTGATATTTGATGCTGTGAAGTCAGAAGGAAAAAGATACCAGCTCGCTTTATCTTTTGCTCACTGTGTGAGGGCGAACAATGTTTGGAGTGGCAGCAGGGAAGTGCTGTCTCCTTGCCACACAAGGAGCCTTTGGGCTGCCTGCTGGGGCAGTGGCACTCACCCATGGCTTCACTCTCAGCCTCTGGACTGAAATGTTTGCAGACTGGGCAGTGCCAGTTTGGTGGAAGAATGTCAGTGTTAGAATTCGTGAGACATGGGACAGACCGGAGCCGGGGCCTCTGACTGCTGGGATGTGATGTGGTGTATGCACATGTTCTGACAGAAGGAGCTGGGTCTGTTGTTGCTGTCTTTATGGAGTATCATTCTGTGCATGTGTTTGGCTGCTAACCCGGTGTCCCTTCATTTTTAATCTCATCAACTGTTTGTGCCTCCATAGGGGCACAGTAAGGAATAGAAATCTGTTTCACTCTGAAACTTCTGGAGCTGAGCAGGTATTTCTGTCTCCAGGTTTGGTCTTGAAAAGTGAAGGCCATTGAAGGCTGAAGGTACTCAATAAATTTTGGAAAATTCTGGATTAAGGATGTGTCCTTATTATTCTATTTGTATGTTTAGCTGTAATGTTGAACATACCTTCCTTGGGTAATAATCTCAGGCTTGCATCCTGTTTTAAAATACACTCCTTTGCAACAATATCTGGAGATTTGGAGTCAGTAATATGTTAGGTTATAGAAAGAATTAAAATAAATTAAAAATAATCTCTGCAACATTTCATATCTCATAGGCAAAAGTTACTGAGAGTCAGTTTGTTCAGTGCATGACCCATGTAAGAGTTCTTAGGCATATAAGAGCAGCCAAAAATAGCTCCTTGAAGGTCAGGGAAGGTATCTTTTCTGCAAGTGAAAAGCTTTGCATTTCTGTCCTGGAACATTTATATGCCTTATGCAGGCATTTATATGCAAGAAAGAATGGGTAGAAAGAAAAATAACATCAAAATGGGCTTGGAGGGCAGCCAGAGCCTGTGTAACATGTTCCTATTTCATAGGAGCCTGTATAAGCTGCTACCAGCCTTGGAGATTTTTCCATACATGAAATGGAGAAAGCCTGCATTAACTGCTAAACCATGCTTCAAAGGCAGAGTAGCTGAATAAAGGCTGGATTCAGTTTGTTCAATAGGTGAACAACAGCAAGAGGGACCCTTATGTTTTAAAATGAAGCCATAGGCTTACATCCAAGTGATTTTAATTTTAAGCTTCTGACTGACTCTGGAGTCTGAAAGAAATTTCAGCTTGTCAGACCGAATGTTCTTTTCGGTCTGATATCTGCATGCTGAGACAGAGTTTACGAGAAGCTTTTATAGCAAATCCCAAAGTCAGAGTCACCGCAGAATGCTTTAATTATTGAATAGGCAAGAGCTAACGTGAGAGGGAAAGGCTCTGTGTTTCTCTGCGTATTAATCTCCCTCCCCCACCCCTTCCTGCCCCAATCCTCTGGTTAATCAGGTTATGTTTGCCCTATTTCTCTCAGGGAGCATACAGAATGCAGTGTTGCTACAAATGGAGGAAGGAAAGGAGGAGAAGGGCATGCAGAAAGCAAGAGTGGGTAGAGGATGCTTCAGAAATGAAAGCCTTACTTTGGCAGCATTCCCGAGATCCCAGCAGGGTGCCTCAGAGCTGTGGCATGTCTCTGTGACCTGTCACAATCGCTGACATGCATGGTCTCTTATCCCAGGCCATGTGCCAAAGGACAGTGAAGGGGAGCCTGTCTCTCTGCGTTCAACCTGGAGGCATTGGTGTGGTATCTGTGGGCAACAGCTCCCGCCCCCAGCACCCACCCAGCAGTCCCTTTCAGCTATGATCCCCTGGGAGGGAGTAGCTGATGTCCCTGGGGGAGCACACTCTGCCTGACAAGAGCCTGGAGTACAGTAGTTAATTTGGCAGCAGGGGAGATAATGTGCCTGTGTGCGCACACACACACAGAGCAAGGTGTGCTGAATGATTCTGGGCACTCACACAGCCTTTAATTCTTGCTGCGCTCATCCCCCTGGGCACATGGCTGAAAGCCACAGGAAAATAGCAGATGGACCCACCAAGTCAATGCAGCTATGAAAAGCAGGGAGTCAGCACAGACAGGCACAGCACCACTGGCCTCTGTGCTGGTGCATCCAAGTTTCCTTTAAGTCCTGTGGTCCTGGAGTTAAGCTCTGAACGTGCTTAGATTAGGGTGATTCTTCATATGGATGCATTCCTTGGAAAAGCTCTTATCTCCAACCATAATGAGCAATACTCGACTGGGAGACTGAGGTCCAAAGCTCTTCTGTGGCCAGTGTCTAAACCCAAAGCTTACAGCTGAAACTGTTCATAAAACATGCAAAATTGCTTGTTCTGAGGTCTGGATCTGGTCAGCCTTAGCAGAATAGGATAAGTCTTGATGCGAGAATTAAGTGCAGTGACTTGTGTGATTTTGGGAGCATGGCAAATTCAGAAGGATGTAGGTCTGTGTCTGCATTCTGTATTTTGAGGTGAATTTACCCAAATGCTCAAAACCAAACCTTTCTAAACCAAGTGACAAAGCTGCAGGGAGTTTATATGTAACCCAGCTTCTCTAACCCTCTCATCCTGTCTCAGGATCAATTGAATGTCAGATGATGCTTCCATTTCACTTGTGCCAGGAAGTGCCAAGCCACAGTGCCTAATTCAGTCTTGTGTGCCAGCTTCTTTTCTCAGATAATGGTGCTCTGTTCCTTTGAGAGACTTACATTAGAAGAGATTTTTAGCACCCCTCTTTGTTAACAACACAGGTCACAAACATTTCCCAAAAACAGGTGAATGCTCTAAGAAGTGTTCCAAAAGCATGAGCATCGGCAAATGCAGACCTAAACCATTAAATCCTGGAGGCATGACATGATTTCACATGTTCCCCAGCACAGAGCAGAGCTAACTGGGCGGCCACAGACTCCACAAGAATGAAGACAGGCAGGAAATGAACCTCCAGAAACCATTCCTTGGCAGATGAGAGCTGCGGAAAAAGCAAGGCATAGCAAGCCTTGAGCTGTGTCAGAGACAGGCCTGGCAGGTGCCTTTGAGCCATGTGGGGATCCCGGCTTGTTCCCACTGTGCGGTGCCCTCTGGCAAGTGTGTTCTGTGGTGATTGTCCAGAGCTTGGCAATGCCCCAACACAGTGTGCTGCCATGGGCGGGTTGCTCGTCTCTGTGAGACCAGCTCTGTACGTTGCGGCGGCTTTGCTGTGCGTGGGCATCCTCTGTGCAGTCCTTCTTCGCGGCAGTGAGGAGCAGGGTGGCCAAGTTGCTCCCCAGATCTGCTGTTTGGTTTCAGTGCAGGAGGCGGCAGGGGATGATCACAGCGTTTCTCATCCCACAGGAGAGACAGCTGAGTGTGAGTGAGTGAGAGGAGAGCGCTGAGCCGCGCAGTGAGCGGCTTTGGATCAGCTCTGCACTAGGAAGAGTTTGCCTTGCCAGCCTGTGCGTGGGAGGGCTGCTGGAGCAGATGGTTGGCAGCGCCAGAGCTGCAGGGTTGGGCCGGCTTGTGGGGAGCTGACGGAGGAGGAGGAGGAGGATGGTGCACAATGAAGCAGCCTGCAGGCTCACCCTAACACAGAGGAGTCTGTGTCTGCAACGGCATGATCCAAACAGCACCCATCATAATTTGTTTGCAGGTTAAGAGGAGGCTTTTTCTACATACTTCCCTGATACAGTATGTATATATATACACAGTGTATATCTAGAGATAGATATAATGTATCTATCTATCTATATATACAAATATATACCTAAATCTCCTCTTCTCCCCAACCCCCTCCTTTAGGCTCTCAGTGACATGACTTCCTTAAAAATTCTGAATTTACCATCTCTGGTGTACTTGTAATTGTCCTTATGTCCTCCGAAACCTGAATTCCCATTTCCAAGCTTCTGTTTTATAAGTGAAAAACTGTTTGTTTTTTAACAAAGTCCCAGGACTCCAGAAAGTGGAGCTGTAAGGAAAGTTGCAGCATTTACTCAGATGTAGTATCAGTGAAAAGAAGCAGAGAAGCAAAAACCTGCACTGAGAAGGTGAGCCAGGAGGCAAGGCTGAAACAGTGGCTCCATTGTTTGGCTTCTGCTGGAGCAGGTTGACATGGCTGCATATCCCAGGGAATTGCGTGTTACAAATACTTGGCTCATGGTGAGCACAGCAATCAAATCACGAGGTAATTACTGGACCACTGGGAGAGGCATGCAAGCAATATAGGTTGTTAAATAGGTTAAAAAAAAAAAAGTAAAAATCAACATTCTAAAGTTCAGAACTCTGCTCCTATGGTCTGGTTTTAGATGAGAAAGAAACAGGAAGTTCAGAGAGAAAGAAATCATTACCTTGCTGATAATGATTTTGATAGGGCCAGTGCCTACACTGACTTCTGATCCCAAACTGAAATTTTTAACCACTTAAGACATTAGATATCTAATGCATTGAAGGTCTAATTCTGCAGAAAGTACTGGTGCAAAACACCCAATAAAGTCAGGGCACTAAAAAAAATAAAGAAACCTCTAGAGACATTGATACGACAACATGAGATGAATTTGGCCCACAAAATCCATAGGGCTGGAGCTGCTTGATTAATAAAAATAGGATGATTCTAATTTAAAATCTCTC